GGTTGCTGGCTAACTGGGAACTCTCCGCTGGCTAAATGGAGAACTGTTGATCACACACTCTGACTCGGAACTAACTCGGAACTAACTCGGAACTGTGAATAGTCTTCGCTGCTCCGTATCTAGCCTCGTTCCATTGTTGTGTGGTGTCGTGTTGCTAGCAACGCTGTCCGGAGTTGTTTACTGCTGCCTAGCAACCGCGGTATTCCTTCGTTACGTCACCGTGCGGAGGGGGGGTGACGGAGCGCTCACTCACCCGCCACGTCACTGCTGGGGTGGTGTTCTCCGTTGCCCAACATGTCACAATATATATATATATGTTGTCCCGTTGTTACGATGTTAACTTCCGTGTTTCTTGTCGTGTAAGGTAGACGATGGTATCTTCCGGGTTTCGTGGTTATGTTTCATATCTGAAAGTAAATTAGCGTGTATTATTATAATCTAAGTTTCGAGCTGTATGTATTTATGTAGTTTGGTGTGGGTGAATTGCTTACATGTTATGAGTGATGCTCGCTTACGTTGTTATGTACGTATGTTTCACCTCAGACCAATTCCAGCAACACGCCACGCCTCCCCGGCTACATTCGTGCACAGCGACCTCGAGAAGTGCACGCACGTCTTCCTCCGGCAGGACACGACTCGTAGATCGTTGGAGCCCCCCTACAGCGGCCCCTATCAGGTCCTATCACGGAAGGAGAAGACACTGCAAATCCTCGTGCGCGGCAGGCTCGCCACCGTGTCAACCGATAGGGTCAAACCTGCCTACATATTAAACGAGACAGGCCGTGGGACCACCACCGAGACCTTCACCCCCGCAGCCGACGAAACCCCAACCGCGGTTCCGGATGCCGTGCCACCACAGCCTTTACAACGAACTACACGCTCCGGACGTCATGTACATTTTCCTGATCGCTTCAACAGCTGAGCAACGATCTCCGCGGGGGCTGATGTGGGAACTGCCCACATTTAAGCAAGTGTGACAACGCGAGCTTCATTGCTTAGCAACGACGAGTAAACAGCGGTTGCTAGGCAAAGCCTACAACAATACAGACAGTGATATGTTTTCTATATGTCCGACTCTAGGTTACATAAGAAGACAAATTGAGTGGAAGTTACAGTTACAGTTCTAGATTCTACAGTTCTACAGTTCTGGTTCAGTCTGTTCATTATTGTTATTATTATTCTTCAATTCTTCAAACGCAAGTTCGTCTGTGTATACTGTGCAGCTGTAATAAATACGATTTACAGGACAGTTCAATAAGTGATTGTCTGTTCAAACATGGACATCCAACGCATGGTTGAAAGCACTGAAGCAATAGTCATGAAGCTGTCTGTGCAAAGATATTATGTAGTAGTGAAAGGTTCTTTGCAAGCAAGTGACTGCATAGTCTTTGGACTAATTCCAGAAGAAGTTCAAGCAATATCAAAGAAATATCCTTCCTCATTTAAAGTGATGAATGGAATGACCATTAAGGGTCCTCCAGTACAAGTAATAAATACACTGTGTGAACTTGGCTATGAAGTTGTCTGTAGCACTGGTGAAGCAGAAGTGGCGTGGACTCTTCAGAGGGAAGTGTGAAATAACAAGAACTTCATGTTACTGTGAAAGGGAATGTGGATGCAACTGAAACTAAAGTGTTTGGACTTTCACAGAAAGATTTCCAGTTCAGAGTTGTGTTTCAATACAATGTTCAAAGGTGTTACAGAGTTCACTATTGTTATTGTATCATTAGTCTTCAGTTCTTCAAACTGAAGTGCATCTGTATATACTGTGCAACTATCATAAATATTATAGAACAGTTCAACAAGTGGCTGTCTCTTCATATAACGACATCCCACACTACAAATAATTATTATACTATTGCCGATTTACACAATTTACAATCACTCTATTTTAGTCTTAATAGTATGCATCCTGTTCTGTGTCATAAATAAGATATATAAAATATAGAATATACTGGCTACACAACAACAATTAAAATTCAGAACAAAGAAGACACTACTGCATCAACATTTGTTTTTATTATGTTTATTAGAGACACAACATCTTTCGACCCTTTCACGGGTCATCCACCAGTCTGAGCTGCTGACTTGCAATCAATTGTCATTTTATTCATCGAATAAGGATCCTTATATATATACAGAAGGTCGCATCAAGTGGAGGAACTGTTTTGGAAGAGACTGTGGACCTGTCGGCTGACAGATTACGGATGAATGAATATATATATACATACCAGACGATGGACAGAGTCCAAAACAAGCCTTATAGTTCTACATACGCCATTGTCAGAGTCCTTTCATGTCGAACCGTAAAGTGTCACTAAATTACACATTCCCAATAGAACCGAAGTGCTAATAAATCCAACCATCCGAACTAGAACCCCTCATTTCGTCATGCGTACCCCCTTACACGGGACACCATTTTCCTTCAAAAGCCTCCCTGCCAATGCTGAGCATTTCATACTTAAAGCCTAGCGCACGTCTCTTCAGGCTTTAGTCTCCTGACTTTCTCCATCCACCTCCTGTGATGTCGTGGGGAACAAACTGCGGTGTGTGCCAGGTAAATGCATTTCCACATCAAGAACTGGCCAGTTAGCCTGCGGTGCTGCGAATATGTTTTATGTACACATCGCCAACACATTTGGGTCTTAATTTAGCTGCTCTTTTTATTTCTGATAATAGAGAGCATTTGTTTAAGATGTTAACTGACAACGCAAAATAATTAACTTAAACTTCGTAGCTCGGCTTACGGAGCGTATAATGCACAGTTTATTACGAACTGCTCGCAGCTACTCAAAGGGCTGTGAGTCTGATTAGTTGTGTTTAAGGCCACGCCATAGCTGAAGCGGTTAGTCCCTAGCTTCCCACCGTGGCGGCCCGGGTTCGATCCCAGTTCTGGTCAAGTGGGATTTCTAGTGGACAAAGTGGCGCTGGGGCAGGGTTTCTCCTAGTACTTCGGTTTCCGCTGCCAATCTTCATTCCACCAATTGCTCCACAATCACCCTCACCTATCATCTGGGGATGGTACAATAGACCAGAAGTGGCCGCAGTACAAGGGAATTAGTCCCACCTTACGAGTATTAAAAAAAATAGTTGCGTTTACAAGACCATGGAGCTTGTGTAACATACTGTCGACTTGTCTGGATAATCGAAGGCCGACCTCTCCAGTCGAGTGCTCATTGGGGGTTCCGAAATCACAGAGCCGCTCTTGATCAACTCGCGAATGTTGATCACAGTATCCAAAATTGTTTCCTCCGACAGTTAGTAACACTATGGTTTTTAATTAACAAAATAAATATAATAATAAGCCATCTTGAAAGGAAAATCATGAAGTTGTTTACAAAATTAAACTCAACATGAACTGAAAATTACTTTTCTGCTGGATTGGAAAAAGTGCTGGAATCTTCGGTGGCAGCGGTTATCAGCCTTTTGCGTTTCTCCTCTCTCTGTAAAGAGGCTGCATTCCCACCGTAGCAAACACAGAGCTTATCCTTTTCTATGAAGAGAATATTATAATTATGTACGTTTTTATACTGTATTAATCATTAATGGAAACCTCTATTTTCGGGATCACACATCCCACTCAGCCGACCGCCAAGTCCCACCGGTTACAAATATTGTTATAGAGATTAAAATGTCTTCTTTAGTATTTTAGAATATTTAAGAGCTCCCCAGACTGAAACATAAATACGAGGTAGTTCTCAAGTTAAAGTGACTAGACGTTGTAATAGCCTTCCCAAATTGTTACTTTTGTGAGCTATAACAATAGCCAGTCCCCTGTATTAAATTTTTAAATTACATTACATAAATGAAGTAAAAACCGGCGGTGTGAACAATTGTCTTTCTGTCATAGTTCTCTGTTATTGTGGAGCTTAATTGTGGAGGGACGGTTTGCTACGTAATTCCCTGTCTCTAGTCTGCTAGGTTATCATAGAAGGGAAACGACAAGTATTTGCCCATGTGACAATTGCTGTAGCAGGGCAAAACTTTGTGATTCATTTAGTATTACAAACCGTTGTGAGGTCTTGTACACTTAGGAGTGAAAACGATTATCTGAGCGTTCGTATTTGAAAGAACTCTGTTACGTTGGATGAGACTGTTTTCGGTTAAAATGTTTTGTTATATAATTTCTTTTGGGGCACGCGGTAGCATAGTTGGTTGAGGCACAATGCTACAAACCGGAAGGTCTTGGGTTCGAGTTCCGATGAGGTGGATTTCTTTCTTTCCAATTTACCTAATCCTTCCAGCTCCATTCATTAGAACATGTACTGTAATAGTGGCTTTTAACTGTATTGATGCAAATGTGTGCTCTGAAGGTGGTCTCTGAAGACCTAAACATGTAAGGGCATGAATAGTTGAAATAAAAAAAATCTTAACCAGTCACACTGGACGGAACTAATAAAATTTTTCATAAGAAAAAAAATGAATATCCCAAGTGCGACGGGAACATTATGCTTTTGAGAACCACTACCTTAACAGCACAAGTTCAGTCGCTTCAGTGTCCTCCCTTTGCTTTTTATACGAGGGTCGATTAATAAGTACGATCGACCCTCGTATTGCTAGTGGGGTGGGACTAAGTCCCTTTTATTGCGGCCACTTCTAGCCTATTGTACCAGCCCCAGATGATAGGTGAGGGTGATTGTGGAACAATTGGTGGAATGAAGATTGGCAGGGGAAACCGAAGTACTCGAAGAAAACCTGCCCCAGCTACACTTTGTCCACCACAAATCCCACTTGACATGACCCCGGGATCGAACCCGGGCCGCCGCGGTGGGAAGCCAGCGACTAACCGCTTGAGCTATAGCGCGGCCCCTCCCTTTGTTTAGTTGGAGTCCAAAAGTAATAGAGATACAATCACTGGTTGATAAAATTTCTGGCGCTTTTGCCTTCCAAACTGTGCCTCTCTCTCTCTTACATACGCACATCCTAATTACAGACCTGTGGAAAGGCACTTCATTTTGCATTAATATTACAATTTTATTAGGCTTCACGACAGTACTCACCCTGCAAGTAGTATGTTATTTTGCACATGAACTCTCCGTACAGCCAGATCTTGATGACGGCTTGACTTATTGCCACTGGCATGCAGATCAGAGTCACCAGAAGGTCAGCGACTGACAGGTTCACCAGAAAATAATTAGTGACACTGTAACCAAAAGAAATTATGTTAAAGTATTAAATTTATACATATCATCAGATCTGTGGAAATAGCTAAGACGAGGATCGAGTGATGGAATTCCAGACTTTCAGTGGTCTGTTTTACGATGTTCGGACTTAGAGGCATCGAAAGCTTATGATTGATGAAGAAGAAAACTGGAAAAATTTGGAGGGAAATTGCCATGGACTAATCACAGTACTCTCCCGTCATTTGGCTGGAGTGGTGAGGAAAACCACGAACAATCTTAGTCTATGTAGTCAGCTTCCCTACCGAGATTTAAACCGAGCACCTTCCGACTACAATTCTAGATCGCTATCTCCGCACCGACCCTCTCGATGACTTTTGAGATGGCGAGGTTTAACTTCAATAAAAGTCTATTTATAAATCACTCGAGAAGTTATCAGATTCTGCAGAATAGAATTTAATTGTGTCGTTGAGAACCTATTCATCGTTTCCATTAAAGCGTTTAATCCTATATTGTTTTCGCATTAATGTCTAAGAATCTGTCGTTGGAATTCTATCCTCAGAAGAATATTACAACTTTTCTTTTTTACCACTTGAACTTACGAAAACTTCTCTGAAGTTAGCAGGGTCCAGAAGAAGAAGCTCTTAGCGAATCGTATGAAAGAACAAGGCCTGAGGACTTCTCCTGGATGTAATCACTTTCCGAGTCCATAGAACAATTCTGCATGAAATTGTAACGGCAGCAGTAGTTACTGCGTAATGTGACATGGCGTCTTTTCTCACCCTGTCACTAGATTTAGATGAGTTGTTAATTCACTATCCTCTTGCTCCCTAGGATAATCAAGGGGAGTGCGGAATGGACCTCAGAGCTTAAGAGAACTCGTGTGTCAACTGCTTGTAAAATTCCGTATTAGAAATCAGTTGCTAAGATCTGCAGTTGAATTCGGGAAGAGTTGTGAATGGTCTATAAGAAAAAGACCACGTGGATGCATAACTAACTTATACCATTGGCCGCGCCATAGCTCAAGCGGTTAGTCGCTGGCTTCCCACCGCGACGACCCGGGTTCGATCCCGGGTCTGGTCAAGTGGGATTTATGGTGGACAAAGTGGCTCTGGGGCAGGTTTTCTCCGAGTACTTCGGTTTCCCCTACCAATCTTCATTCCACCAATTGCTCCACAATCACCCTCACCTATCATCTGGGGCTGGTACAATAGGCCAGAAGTAGCAGCAGTACAAGAGACTTAGTCCCACCCCACTAGCAATAAAAAACCTATACCGTTAGAATAGATTTTTCCTAAATGTTCACGGAACCTTAATTCTGAAACTAAGCATGTGTTGTTGAGCGGCCTCCGTAGTCTAGAGGTAACCCACCTCATGACTCGTAGTACGCAGGTTCAAATACCCGGCGGAGGTCGTCGAATTTTTAAGGGCGGAAAATTTCAGGGAACAAGTTCTCCGGGAGGGACTTTAAGCCGTGGGTCCCGTGTCGTAGCTTTGCGGCACGTAAAAGAACCTCATATCTCCAAAGGAGGTCACTGAGAGAAATTACGGACGTTTCCCGCCCAACAGCAGTCTCTAATACCTCTGGTAGATGGGAGAAGCATTATAGATACCTCTCAGCTAGTAGAGCCGGTCTCGCTGGCTGGGCGGGACTGATGGTAAGCACCAGTACCGGTAGGATATAGAGACTGGTAGAAATCATAGAGGGAAGCACAATGGACCAATACAGGTCTAAGTGCATGGGGAAACCCACCCTCTCCAATAACTAACTAACTAAGCATGTGTTGACAGAAATGTTTATTTTTTCTCGTATTACTCAGCACATTTCAGAGAGGGTATGAATACGAACCTTATATCTAATTACTCCTCCTTTTCTTGTGCTGAAATGTGCAAACTGCTGTTTGTACGAAAATATATCTCGTACCGTGGGCAACGAGTGCCGCTGTAGCTTGCCATCATGACACGGTTACATGAGAGTTTACATTGCTGCTAAAATTACATAACAGTATTCATGTAAAACACACAAAGCCTACGATGTACTAGAGTTAATTAGCCCGTCATCAACTCAATGACACTGAAAACCTATAGTTCATTGGTCCATAAATTTGCAAATTTCCACTCAGATTGTTTTCTGGCGTCCCTGTAACTTCCGTACATCAAAAGCATGTTTTATAATGAGATGTAATATTATTCTGAAATTGCGCTCTCCTTTGGGAAATATCGCATATACACGCTCCGGCCGTCCACGTTACAGTATGTTTCTGGATATTACCGTCCTGTTCTTATCTATAGACGCCGTTCTGTTTATATTACAAAACACAACGTTTCGGAGACTGGATTCTCTCTCCGTCTTCAGGTAAAACATACTCAGTTGGCCTCAATCGATAGTGCTGCTCCTTGCCTCCGTGCACTTGTACCATCACCAAGATGGGGCATACAAACCAAGCACAAGATAAAGACAGGACGATGGATAATGCCCAGAAACACCATATTTTTACTAATTTGCCACCATCACAAACGTTTAGATCTTATTGACTGAATTAGAAACTTGTCACTACGTCGTTTTCAATCCCCCCTCCCATCGTAACGGGATAATAAAGTTTGCGGGCAATACTTGGAAGAGGATCTTGCGGAAACTGCATAATGAGGAGCTTCGCGTTCTCTACTCTGCACTAAATACTATTTATTATTTATTATTTATTATAGAGGAATACACTACATGGGCCTGCGCCGGTCACGGTAGCCGCGCGGTCTAAGGCATATACTGTCTTTGCTCGCTTGGAAACCGGGATCGTGGGTTCGAATCCCACTCAGGGCATGGATGTTTAGTTTGTGTGTGCGTTGTTCTGTGTTTGTATACAGGTAGAGGCCTTGCAACGAGCTGATCACCCGTCCAAGGAGTCCTACCGTATGTGTAAGATCTAGAAAAACCGAAGTGAACGGAGTTCATGGAGGTAGGCCTAGGCCCACTGGGGCTGTAGTGCCAAGGAAAAAATAACATGGGCCTGCATGCAGTTCGCACGAGGGAAAGAATATATATATATATATAAATTTAGTCGAAAATTTATGGGACACAGGATTAAATGGGATTGTAAAATTAGAAGCCATCTTAAGAAAATTAGATATCAGATCTGAACTGAACCAAATTGCCTCAGGAGAGGGTCCTTTGGCTGGCTGTCATGATTACGGCAGATAACACTCAGGTTCCGCAAAAGGCGGGAAATATCTTGATAGTTTCTCAAGAACAGTTCCACTACCAGAGGTTATGTTATGAAAATAGCACTGCAGTACTTATCCTGTATCACAGTTGCAACAGAGACCCTGCGTGTGAGCTCACGCTGTACAAGTACATCAGGATCACTGGTACTCATTTGCACCAAGTCTTGGCTTCTGCCGTTAGGTTCACGCTCCAGATTTGAGAGCGAAATTTTGTTTTAATACTGCACACTTAATAATTCCATTCCTCTACACCATTTTCTTTGGATGATATTTAGCAGGACTAAAGACAGGGTGTGAGTGCTTTCTCCACTCGAAGCACAGAAATTCAACACATAAATGTTTAAGTCTTCCTTGAGTCACTCAAAACAAAAGAAGGAGCACGAACGTCAACCCCTTCTAGCCCAAGCTCTTCACGCACGAAGAGAACCTGCATATTAATTCGTCTTCTTTTCTTTTTTGTCAGAAGGGATTCAAGTCTAAAATGTACTGTCGTTTGAAAACACTATTCGCACTCCAACCTCCTACAGAAATTAGAGTTTGTTACAGAACAGTTATGAAGAGATTTAAAATTTTCTTTTATGCTCCGAGATGCAATAGAAATTACCTCATCCCTCGCTTAATTGAGTGACTTTTAGGGGATTATTGCATTTAAGGTACGGCCAATAAATGGGGGGGGGATTTATTTTTCAAACAAAATAGATGTCTGATACCACTCAGGGATCGGTCCTTAAAACGAATTGTGTTGTTGCTGAGGTAACCACACAGGCAGCACATTCGCTGTTATCAGAGCTGTTCTATGCTATATGTCCATCCCAAGAAATAAACAATAGCAACGTAAAGCCACGATGGTTCTGTGGACTGTATTCGTGGTATTGTATGAGGCAGTTATAGAACCTAATGTAGCCATTTGTAAAGCCCAGAGACAGCTGCAAGATTAACTCTCGTATTCGGATGATTCTCAGGGAAATTCGTGAGATGTAGATGTGAACTTCGCCTCGGTAATGAGTTTGTTTAATAATGTGGCAAGAATTGAAATATGCTGGTGTTATATTGCCAGTTTCATGTCTCAAATTTACATTTTTACGCTCTTTCCACGATGACGGATGGTATTTTACATTCATAGTGGCCATTAGTCTTTCAGTATGCGAGTAATAATATCATTTTGGATGAATTAAATTTGATTAATTTGGGTTTTTCAGTCCATACCAAGTCTTCTCAACAATTCGTATATATATGCAAATTGATTAACATGGGCTATCTCTTTACAGTGTACCTAATATATTTTTTAGTTGTCCTTGTGCGTAACTAGTTAACCACTATACCACGAAGACATATTTGTCATTATTCATTCATCAGTAATCTGTCAAGACGACAGGTCCACAGTCTCTTCCAAAACAGTTCCTCCACTTAATGCGATCTAGATCTTTCTCCTTCAAGTGAAAATATCCTCTTCTGTCCCCAAGGTCATCCAGCATCTTCTTACGTCTTCTTCCTCGTCTTCTAGTCACTTCTATCCGCCCCTCTATCTTTCCTTCAATAACTTCTTTTAGAAGGCAGTTACCGCGTAAGATATGACCAGTGCAATTAGCCTATATGTACACTTTATGGAGGTAGATGATACGATCCGATATTATTCTTGTCGTGTGTTTCCTAGGCAACGCGACAAGAAAATTTACGCGGGTCTCGGATTTGGGCGAATATTTATTGAACGACCATTCTTTACACTCACAAGTACAATTATTCACACTTATAGCGTCGTCGGACGTTTCCTCTTCAATGTTATACACTCTCACACCTCTAATCT